GCCCCAGAGGCAGCCACATGTTTGCAAGTCAGGTCTGGCACACCCCATTGCCTTTCCCTGCTAACTCACCCATCTTTCCTTTGGCATGATGCTGTGACATTCTCCTCAAACTGAATCCCACTGTGGCACCATCCTCACCCTCCACTCCCCAATATTTCCTAAACTCTGTATATCCTGTTGGCCTTGTATGCGATGTCTAAATGTCTCAGCTGCTCCTGGTCCTTACTGCCTGTACCATTGGGTATACATACATGTTTGGAATTATCTGTGGTGTTTGCTGTTCATTGACCCTTGTTGCCAGAAAGGCTGATGTGAAATAGCTCAGCCTGTGTCTACACTTGAAAGTTAAGTGCAGGCCCAAGAGTTACCTGGCATCTGCCTCAATGTCATCTTTGGAGCTTGCTGACGAGGGAGACCCTACGCTAGCTCTGCATCTGAAGCAAAGCCAGACCCTCATTTATGCCCTCTAGACACATCAGGCCTGGGAAGGTCTCGAATTGCTGCAGATTAGCTCACTGGGAGATACTTCAAGTACAACTACTTTTGAGCCCCTCTGGACAAACAGCCAGCAGTGTGGGCAGAAAACCCTTGTTCCGGCACTCAAACCTGCTACTTGAGCTGGCTACGTCCCCTGGTGGTGTAGATGTAAGCACATGTCCTTGGTTTATGCTGGGGCATGAGTCCTGCCAACCTTTCCATTCTCAAGGGCCAGATTGCCACCTAGAGTCAGTACTTGGAAGGACATGGCTTAACCCTTGCTGAGAACTTAGCCCAAGGACTCATTGTGGCCAGTGCTCTCCTTCAGATGAGTTTGGGTCATGTCGAGAAAGATGTTTGCCATGTGTTTTTGTCAGCCATCCATGTTTAATATCTGTCTTTCCCCTGTATGTGCATTGTCAGTCTGTCTTGGTAAGAAAGAAAAGAAGTTTGTGTTTTCGCAAGGAAAGACCTTGTGTCTTTCGAGTGGATGGGCAGGGGTGAGGTATGACTGTATCTGAGCTGTGCTTACAGCCTGGGGTGTAGAAAGTGGTTTGGGCCATTTCTCCCATCCTGGAAACTGATTTCACCCAAAGGACAACTTAACCAATGGGGGATTGCTACTAGGCAAAATGTTCTCACCGTGCCAATGCTCACCTTTGCATACCATACACAGTTAAAGAGCAGAGCTCCCCATAGCTGGGGAATCCTCCTCTTGCTCTTCAACTCCTCTGAAGTGTTTTTGCTCTAATGTTATTCTTAGCTGTTGATGAGAGGAGACTTGTTGCATGGTTACATAGTCCCATGTGCAATGAGGTTAACAACTGCACAGAAACTTGGATGCAGCAGAACTTGCTCAGTTCTGCAGATTAGGAAACTTGTATTTGGTGGGTATGATGCTGCTGTTGGAATAAGCAAAGCTTTCAAACCTGGCAACAGCAGTGAGCAATTCTTCTCCCTATAGTATCTTTCCATGACTGTAAATGCTTTTATAGGCCTTTGCATGCCCACAGGTACATAAAATAGAAAAATTAGTAGCTGACATGAAAATGCCCTTTGTTGAAATCCGGGGGATTAATTTAGATTCAGTTTCTCTGGTTATTAAATACTGTTTTTGCAAGTTAGCTGCTTTTAAAAAAGCAGCTCAGGTTGAGCTCCTTTTCACTTGTCCACATAAAAACCATACTTGGCCAAATAGAGTTTGGCTGGCCTCTGTCCCAGTTCCAGTTTGACTGAATTCAAATAAAAAGCAACCTGGGAGTGAATCTAATTAAACAGGAGAAGGCTTTGTAGCATTTCATATGCATACATTTACCCTAGCACTACCAAAGCTGCTATGGGAACCCCCTTCAGGATGGGAACAGCTCTGCGGGTTATAATATCCTCTGGCAGTATAGGCCTGTGGACATGGTGATGGGGAGACATGAGGAAGGATGTGATGGGAAAGGAGAGCGTGTGTTAAATGGCACCATTGGAGCAGCTGAAAGTAAAGTAATGGCTTTTTGTTAAATCAAGGATTTATTTCTTTGTTATTGCTGCTGTTACCAGAAAACTACTTGGAACATTGTGCCAGTGCATGGCTAGTAGCTAGGTGGGTGTAGAGGTAAGGGTTACCATGGTCGTTGCTTTACACTGGGCTTTTGTAGGGTTGGGACTATGAGAATTGCAACATTAAGAAATCTGGACGATGCCTTGTTTAGAACGTGGTTGTACACAGGGGTACATGTGTTTACCAAACACGAGGCATGTAGGCATGCTAAAGCTGGTTTATTCACATATATTAAAAATGGGAAATGTCTGCATAACAATCTCCTTTGTGCAAGTCTAAAGTGGATATCTGGTTAGATTCTGCAAAGAGGCGCATGTGTTATCTGGTATAGAGAACAAATGGATATCGACTGGCCATAAAGACACTTGAGCTGCATATTAGACCCCCGAGATTCTCCTCTGGAGTCTTCCCAGTTGCTGCCTGGCCAGTATCCCAAGGGGCTGATCTGCAGCATTGATGCTACCAATCTAACTTACTTCCTGCGTTGCTGCAGTTTCTGGGAGGGGCAAATGAATATCTTTAATTTTGTATTAAGAGACCTATCTTGACTTCAGGCAATGGAGAATAAAAACTTGAATTGCTGGAAGCATATCAGAGGTGTTTGGTCTTTTGCGGACAGGGGTTTCTGTGCACAAGAAGCTTCCTAGAACAGACTGTGCCAGGCAGTGATTTGTAGGTGTTGCTGAATTTTTCTCCCTGGTGGTGGCAGCTCTTGTGCATTAGAAGCTCCTCTCTCTGCCAACACAAATGTGTGTATGTGTGCACGCACCATACAGAATATTCATAGCAAATTCTTACTAACAGAGTATTCACAACAGAATCCAAATTTATGACTCTTTGGGCCTGTCCAAAATCAATTTGGGAGAAAGTTATCTCAGATTTCAGTTAATTTTGATTCGGTGCTAGTGTCATGTAGATGCTGGGTCCAGATTAAGTTTCCTATCTGGACATGTTATTACGACGTCTCTTCTGTTTCTGGGAGTATGCAAAGGCTTAAAATTCCATGATTTTTAATCCTTAGAAGTAGCCTATTGAGAGATCCTTGTCCCTCAGCATGCAAGCAGACTTGTATTCACTTACAGGTGGCCAATCTACATGTAACAATAGATACTGTGCATGTGTAAAGTAGGCCTGTAATTTAGATAGTGAAAAGAAAGTGGTGCACGGGATTTTTGTCGTTTCATTGATTTCCTCGGGAGTATTGCCTGCTGCATGGCTGGAGTGAGGGAATGCAGGCTTTACTGTGATTTCACTGGGTTGCAGAGAAAGAGGGAGACAGAATCCTAGTAAGACCCTGAGGTTTCTCACCTGTTTGTCAGCAGATGGCAGCAGTCAACAGCATAGAGCACTTGGACAGACTGAGCTGCACTTTTCTGCACACACACATAGCTGTAACGATCCTGACTTTCCACCTGGATGACTTTTGTATTGCAGCCTGCAGAAGCAGCCCATGCAGGAGCGGAAGCAGCTGGATCAGAAGCAGCAGCTGGAGCTGAAGCATCTAAAACTGAAGCTGATTCAGGATCGGTAAGCACCTCAAGGGACAGCAGTCCCTTTTCTCCATCACATCCCTTTGTCATACAACAGATATGGGAGGCTGGGAAAAGAAATGTGTGGCTTCTTGGAGAAATGCATCCCTGCCACCTCAGTGGTCACAATGCTCCTATTCATAGGCCAGACTTAGCTGTTGCACTTTATCTGTGTAATGCTTAGGGAGATGCTCTGCTGGAAGAGCCACAAAAAGAGCTGTCCCTCCACTCACATGAAGCTGGCCCATGGTCCATGCTGTGCTGAGCTTGAATTGTCTGCTGCATTCCTCCTTGCTCGCCATTTACTTTACCTACCCTGTCCTCCTGGGCTCTGCCTGTGTCCCCTGAATATCCAAGGTTTCTTTTTTTTTTTTTTTTTTTTTCCCCCCCTGACATTGCCACCTTTTCAGGGGACTGAGTAGGTCCCATCTCATGGCTGCTTGGTTCCTACAGGCATTTGAGTTGTCTCTTCCATGAGGGCTCTACAAGAACTGCATCATGACCGCAGCAAATAGGAAGTGATGGGCATTATGATCCCACAAAACCTGTAAATCCTCTCTGCCATTCTGCAGCCTTAAGCAAAGGAAGACAGCAGTTACCTCTCCTGCCTTCTCACTGCTGCCTCTTCTGTCCTTTGGGGTGTTTTTGTCACTGAATGGTGTGCTGGGGAAAATCCACTGAAGCCATGGGTAGGGCTGGGATGTGGATCCTCCAGGGTGAACTTGGAGCTGCAATTTTGGATTCTCTTTTCTCAATGGCTTTTTTTTCCTTCCCTGGCTGCTGCTGCCTACCAGAGCTCTCTGCCTGCTGTTGTCGTGGAAACTTTCCCTGCTACCGTCAATGGCACTGTGGAAGGAGGCGCTTCGTCTGAAAGAGCTGACATGCCCCCAGGATTTCTGTTCAAGGTGAGTGCATGGTGGTGGGGCACAGAGTTCCTGGTAATCTTTTTTCTGTAATGAATTAGCTACTTTCGCTCATCATGGCCATGGGCTATGCCACATTGAAAGGGAGAAAGGAAGTTGAAGGAGATACACCTTCCTCTCCAGCAGCCCAGCTTCATGCAGTTTCAGATGCTTCAAAGGACTGTATAAGAGCATCGGTGTCTCAACGTCTGGCTGTGCTCTGTAACAAAACTCCCCTTCCTTCTCTCTGCTGCAGTTATTTCTGTCTCTGATGGTGTGGTAGTGTCAGTCACAGACTCTGGATAGTAGATAAGAAGTTGTACTCCAAACTGGAAAGGTTAAACTTTGATGCAAGTGGCAAATGAAGAAGAGTTGAAAACATGTGTAGGGTCAGGGGACTTCATGCTTGGGGAAATTAGAAAGCCAGGATGATCAGGGAAAAGCATAGGATTAGACAGAGAAGTCTGGTGGGTACTCTGAATACGCCAAAGATCACTCACAGCTTGTTTTGAAGGTATGGAGGAAGGAGTGATTCTGGGTGAGGTTAGGCCACAAATTTAGCGTGCATAATGGAATATGGTAGCAAGACATCACAGATGCATCATGCCCTGAAAGTGAGAAATTACAGCCTCCTGCTGTAGGAATGCTTTTCTTCTGCTTTAGTCATGTCCATGCTTTTTTTTTTTTTTGGGAGGGGGTGGGGTGGGGAGGGTAGTTCTACCAAAAGCAGAAGAATGACAAAACCCTAAAGAACAATAGGAGGCTCATCACATTTAGGCTGGTTACAGGCAGCATTACAGACTGTAGTGCTCGAAGAGAAGAGCTGTGGTTTGAATCAGAATAGCTGTAACACAGATGTTGATAGGAATTAGGCTGAATACCAAAGAGAAAATGTGGCAGGATACAATCACCTGAAGATCCAAACTGATACTCTTCCCTACGTTTCTTTTCCCTGCTTGCTGTGACAGAGATGGGAGGCTATAATCTCCAATACTTTCACAGTCCAGCTGCAAAAATAATATGGGGCACCAGTCGAGTGAATACAGGCTTTCTATCCTTTGAGGTTTTTAGGCCTATACTGTGGGAATTCAACCCTCCTAAGGAAGGATGGGGAGGTGCTGATGTGTAACAAGTTGAATGAGACTCACTAGGATGCCCCTGTGGCAAAGGCAAGCTGTGTGCCAGGCTGTATGAACAAGCATTAGATAAAGGGAAGTGATTATTCGCGTAAATGTGGCATTTGTGATCCAAGCTTGCCCTGCCTTGAGCAGCAGCTTGGATCAGATGGTCTGCAAAGGTGCCTTCCAACCTGCATCATCCAGTGAATCAATGGAGTGGAAAGCCTTGACACCCATGTCAGAGCTGGGTGAGAGAAGGCTCGCCTCACCCAAGCTCTCCTCTTACCTGTAGGTCCAGGCCATGCATGATTACACAGCCACCGACAGCGATGAGCTGCAGCTGAAGGCCGGGGATGTGGTGCTTGTGATTCCATTTGAGAACCCTGAGGAGCAGGTGAGTGGGAAAGACAGTGTGTGAGCCTGGGCTGGGAGGACCCAAGGGGATTTCCAGAGCTGCTTCTTCCTCCACTAACAGTTGGCTGGCTGGATGCAGAGCCATCAGTTTGTGGCTGGGAGCTGGTGGGAGAGCCGGTTGTCCTTGAGCTTGAGATTGGCTTCCTGCAACAGAGGGGACGACTCTGCTTGTGATTTGGAAAGTGGAGACATTATCTTGCATAAAGCATGTGAAATAGCCATGGCTCCCTGACCCTTTCAGGGCATTTGAGCCAATACAGTGGCTTCCTTGTTCAGGGAGCCCAACAGAGCCCATACTTTGCCTCCTCGCTGCTCCTAAAGTTGATGCACATCCCTTATGACCACTGCAGTGCAGCCTGTGGCATTGGCAGGAGTGATACACAGTTTGTGATGATGTTTTCTTCCCTTTTGAGATGTGCTGGAGCTCTGAGAAAGCAGCTTGCAATGGATGATGTCTTGCACTTCAGTATAGCAATGGCTATTTCCAAAAGACAGCGTTTGGTCAGGAGATGGCAGCAGAACTAAAGGTTGGAGCAGATTGCTCAGCCCCAGAGAACCGTCTTACTGTCCGTCTCCAACCTGAATTTAACTGGCGATGTTTTTCTTTAATCTGAGCTATTTCTAGAAGCATTGAATAAATCCTCCTCACTTGCTGTGTTTGAGGGCTTCCAGCTGATAAAGTCTGCAGCAGTTTTACTACTTTGGCTGAGGGAGGTGGTGATTTTATAAAATTCATGCTCATATCTCTAGGTTTTTGTTTAGAAAAGGAAGGGAGTTCTCCAAATTGATCTAGTAGTCATCAGCTCTTTGGGTTTGGTCAAGCCCAGACAAGATCTGGATTCCACAAGGGGTAAAGGGAGTGTGATGTGTAGTTCACTGGCCACAAAAGTTGTGGATCCTCTTTGTGGCTCAGCTGTTGGCTTTGTGAATTATAGAGTCAGATCTTGCTGCTGCTTGTGAAATGGAAGCTATAATGTGCCAGCAGTTCCTGTAGAGCTAGGTGCTCTGAGGGGAACAGTTGTATGGGGAAGCGGCAGTGATTCCTTCTGGAGACAAGACTTCTAACTGAGTGGGACTGCCCTGCACAAGCATTTGTGAGCATTTCTTTCTCAGAATGCTTTTTGGTTGGGAAATGAGTGGCAGCTCCCCTAGTTTCTGTGGTAGGAGATGGCATTTGTGGAGCAGTTTTTCAATGCCGTATGTTTGCACTCTAGCTGGATGTGGGTGCAACAGCCATGAACTCGAGACTCTCCAAGCTGCAGAGGGTGAGCTCTGAGTGTTGCTAACATGATGCTGTAGCTGCACTGAAGCCCTCTAACCCTACTATGGTGTATCCCATGCTACAGCTCATTTCCCTAACCTCAACCATATCCAGCCAGAAAATGTTGGCTGTTAACATGTGCATGAACTGTGCACGTGAGCGGAGAAAGCTTAGGATAATAGACTGATCCATGTTGCCATCTTGCAGCTTAGGTGTCAGTTTGTGGGTGCATCAGCCAGGCCTGGATTCATCTCTCTTGACAGAAGAAAAGGTTGAGGGTAGCAACACTTCTAAGCTGGAACTTTAAGTGATGTTCAAAATGTCAAGGGTCAATCTGTGTCCTTATGTCTGATCCCTACAGCTGAGGAGACCCTTCGTAGCAGGATGCAGTGGGCGTGATGCATGCTATATGGCACAGACGCTGTGTGCAAATGGATGAGCTCTTGTGCTTGCCGTGCTGTGAGCTGGAAGCTGCCTTCCAGACACGTGGGCTCGGTGTCTTTTGCCTAATCATTTGTCTTCCTGATTTATGGCATGTCAGTCCTTCCACAGCCCTTGCAGCTGGCTGCTGCAGATGGGTTCCCATCTCATGCCATTCCCATGACATCTCCTGAATGCTCAAATCTAAAGCAGCAGCAAAGGCTAGCTGAGCCCAGAGGCACCCAATACAGCCTGCAAGGAGCAGGGAACTCAGATGCAATGGCTTGTCTGAGCTGCTGCCACATGAAATGTGCAGAAAACAGGACAAGAGGGCATAAGCTGCAAAATGGCAGCAGAAAGCAATGTGTGCCCTGTGGATCACCCCTGTCGAGGGCTGCATCACTCCTGCACTGTGCAGGTACATTTTTAAAGAACACATTTCAAGGGAGGCATTGCTTGGCCTTGAGTAAATGCCCAGGTAACTCCTGGTAGTTCCAGGAAATCAGAAGCATCAGAACAACTGTGGGAACCACACACACAAATGCTCCATTTCCCCACAGCTTAGAGCATCTGGTTACCTGAGTGCTTCTGCCTTGGCAAGTTATGTAGTTGAATGTGATAAGCCTGGTGCCTGCTTTGCCCAGAGGAGTGGATGCAGAGCAGGCTGTTGAGTTTGGAAGCAGTGGTCCCCTGTGCAGCTCTTAACCCATAAGCTGCTCCACTGCAGATGACTCCAATGAGTGGGTATATTTGCATGTTGAAGGGGTGCATGGTGGCAGCTCCAATGAGTGGGTATATTTGCATGTTGAAGGGGTGCTTCCATGGTGGCAGCTCTAAAGCATGCAGAGAATAGGGTGGCTGCACACCTGAGCTGCAAGCAGTGCAGCCTTCCCTCCTTGAATATCTTGTCTCCCTCATGTGCTTCAGATGGAGCAGAAATCTCGATGCTAGAAACCCTGCAGGTAGAGGGTGGGAAGTCTGGTTCTCCTCCTGAGCAGGTTCTACCAGGCAGGACTCCATTTGCCTCAGTGAAAACTCATCCCTGTTTATAGATGTATAGGTTTGGTGGCTAGGGAGGACCCTTGTGAGACACCTTGAGTCCTACATCATGTGTAGCACAAGTTTAGGAGTTTTGCCAACCTCACCATCAAGCAAGTTGGACATCAAGCCCAACAGGCTGCTGGGTTTTGGGAAGATGGGATGATCTCCTCAGCTCCCAGTGCTCATAGACCAGAATTTCAGCACAGCAAACAAGACTCATTTTGCCTGTGCCACCTCTCTAAAACTCTAATCATCCAAGTGCCCTGACTGGAGCAGGGGATGAGCACCTCCAGGGAGTGATTCATCCTCTTCAAAGACCTGTACCCAAGATGAATGGGATGAATTGCGCTGCGGAGGTGCTAGTCTCTTTTATGACTACGGTGAATGCTAGACCCCTCATGTTTAGGTTGTGAAAGCTGAGATAGGCAATTCCCATTCTGTAGCTATAGAGACTTTCTTTGTCAGAATTTCTCCTGCTTCGGTGGGTGTAAGTTATGACATGTTTCTATTACACCTGCTAATTGTTTACAGTTCCACTGTCTCTAGACACTCTGGGTCAGATAGGAGTTTTGGTACTGATGCTGGTGGGATGTAGCCTTCTCCCTGTTTAAAAGGGAACAAAAGCATTTTTTTCCCTTCTCCCCCATCCTCTTCCTAGATTGTCTCCAAGCCAAATACGAGCATGGCTTTGATAACGCCTTGACACCTCCTTGGCCTGTAGTCTGTAACAAAATTCCCTGCTCACATCTATCCCTCAGCATCTGATCTCTGTCTTCTCCTCCAGGATGAAGGATGGCTGATGGGCGTGAAGGAGTCTGACTGGATCCAGCATAAGGAACTTGACCAATGCCGAGGGGTTTTCCCAGAGAATTTCACAGAGCGGGTGCAGTGAAAGCCTAAGCCCACCAGCCGCATTTCTGCTGGAAGAAAGCAAGTTTTCTGGTAGATAATTGAAAAAGAACAGCAAAATGAAAAGAGAGAATTTTAAAGGAACAGAAGCCTGAAAAAAAAGTCAACTTAAAGGATGTGTTCTTCTCAAAGGGCAAGGTTTCAGAAGTAAATTGAAATACAAAGTGTTATCAAAATATATACATATTAATAATAATAAGGCAAGTCAGATACCCTCTTCCCCCTTTGGTTTTAACAGCATTTGGATTCAGAGGACTGATACAGAAGCAACTCAAGTGTGGTTCTCTAAATACTGCGTTGACTGAATTGGCAACATTTCAGTCTGGTCCCTGGAGAGGCAGTATTTGTCTAACAGCTTGAGAGTAGAAGCTGCATTTGCTCTTGGGTGGGTTCATCTGTGTTGTATTGGAG